GTAACGTGACCGAAATACGAATTTCATTTTCGAATACTGAATATATGTACCTGCGAGTGCTCCGACCCGCGCGCCACTAACAGCAGCTTTTAATTTGCAAACTGCAAACGTTTCGATATACAATTAACGAATTTATATTACAAACGGGCTTCGTTATTTTCAAAACAGATATTACTAGTTTAATAAATCGTAACTGGAGCGAAATCCGACCGGTATTTATTGTTTTCAACTAGCCGGCCGCGCTCGCTTGAGCAAAAGTCCGCGTATCATCTTTCATGAAGCAAATAAAATGCGAAAGAGAGAGAAAAAAAAAAGAAAAATACAAAGAGAGCGAAGAGTTAAAAAAAAAAAGAGAAGAAGAAGAAACTTTCTGGTTATCAGATAAAATCTAGCGTAGCAAAAAATATAAGAGGAAAGAGAGCTTTAGCCAGCGCGAATCTGCTCGGTAAGCGTTTTTTCCGTAACTCCGGCACGGAGAAGGAGAGAGCGGGACAGGAAGCTGGTGGTAGAGTTTCCAGTTATGGAGAAAAATTTTATATAATCCGGAGTCAGTCCGAAGACAGAAATTTTCGAAAAATCTCGGCGTAACTTGCGAACCCTCACGCATTTACGAGTCCGGTAAATCGTTTTCCGGCCTTCAAGAGCCACAAACTTACAAGTTTCGTTACTTCCTCGACGAAACACGTTGCTAGTCGTACGCCTCCTTTTTCTACTCTGGCGACCACCTCACACCCCGTCTATGTTCAACTTTCATTTCCCAGCCAGTAGAAACTTTCGATTAAATTTTCATAGAGGAATGTGCGCGACCAATGGCCGCGCCTGTAGGTAGCGCGAATAATTTCAAGCGGGCGTCTCGATCGTTTAGCGCAGCTCGATCTCGCTAATGTAATCGTGCATATTCAAACTCGCAATTCGTAGATTCTGGTCGAGTCGATGCTCAAAGGATTCGGGAACGGCATTAAACGGAGACATAATACACCCGTCTTGTCTCAATCGTGAAGCAAGATGCGCGCTTAATCCGCGTTTGACGCTCGCTAGCCTGTTGGCTCGGTACAGACGAGCGTGCGATATTGCACCAAACCGAGCAATTACTGTCGGTAATCTCGCTAATAGAATTCCAATATGCGTGCCAATTGAACCGAGGCACCGTATGGCCGTATGGGCGTGAATCTGCAGATTGTGCGCGCACGACGAAAGCCATGACACGATTTACCCATTAACTATATCCTCGGTTTACTCGACACACAGTTTTTTGTGCGTACGCTGCTAGAGCGCGCTAATTGTAATACGATTGCGCGCGAAACTCGCTGCTTCGTCTAATTGTAAATGCAAAGAATCACGAAAATCAGAGAGGAAACGTAATCTCTCTATTATCTGCACCTTCCATCGATTTCCATGTAACACCACATACATATTGTCCTAACATTATATATCATAAACTTTTATACGCATAAATGTTATATATATATATATATATATACCACGAAATTCCGTTGACGTACGGTTCACTCTCAAAAGTTCCTACGATAGCTACCCTGTGTATAACGTGATATATATATATATATATAT